GGCAAAGCATGGCAATTCTACTGTCTGTGGTCCTGGTGCTACAAGCAAATGTTAGATGCATCAGAGAGGTGTGCGTAAACACTATAAAGGGGCACGACTCCTGGCAAACACCATAGCCATAATCTGTGAGTCTCAACTAACAGTGTTACCCAGAGAAGGACGTGCCGGAAGCCCTATAAAGGAGTGTGAACCTCAGTGAGCACCAATTCAGGCCAGGTGTACAGGTACTGACTGAAAGCTGATGTTCAAGCCCCAAGAATACCACAGCTAAAAAATTTAAAAGTGTGAGCATCACAGTCAGGTATGTGTACAATGAAAGGAAGGGGGAGAGGATGGGGAAACAAAACAAATTCAACTTTACAGAGAGGTCAGGGAAATAGGTCAAGTATTAAAGAAGATTCTCAGCAGTTTGAGGTTCTGAGTTTGATTCCCTGGTACTACCTAAGGTGCACTTCCACCCCCAAGTACTACTGGAATGGCCCTTGTGGCCCTCAAGCACCAAATGCCAGGCCACTACACTAGGACAGGCCTAGGTCTCTTCTCCATAAAACTTGGGGGGGTATGGCCCCTATAATAACAATAATAGTCATAAAAGTCAATATATTTTTAACTATGTGGAGAACTGTTTATAACCTTTTAAAAACACTTTTCATATGCTTTTGACTTTCAAAAACAAGCATAAGTAACATTATTTTTCTGAAAAAAAAAAGTCTTACTCGTACATTAAAAAAAGAGACAGCATCTTTGAGGTGCAAAATACATTAAAAATTTTTATAATATATAACCAACAATGTGTCAACAAAGTTATGTACTGTAAGCGCTACCACTGAGGCTTGTATATAGTTGAATAATGTTAAATACTTTATAAAAAATACTAAACAGTAAATTTAGAAACTAATAGAGAAGTTAATTCAAAATGGATCAAAGCACTTTGAAATTAAACCATAAACACTGAAGAAAATATATGCAGAATTCTCGAGGATATGAACCTGTGGTGTTTTCTCTTAGATTTGACTTTTAACAAAAACCAAATATAAACAAATGGAACTAAATCAAACCAAAGTTTTTCCCTAGTCAAAGAAACTCATCTAAAATAAAACCAACTTACTGAAGGGAAGAAAATGTTTACACACAATACATCAGATAAAGGGCTCATGTAATATCCAAGATATATAAACCTCAACAACACAACTAAAGTTTTAAAAACACAGAAAGGAATGGATGGAGAGAGATTCAATCCCTGGCATCCCATATGTTCCCCACATTTTCCAGGAGTGATTCCTGAGAGCAGCAGAGCCAAGAGTAACCCCTAAACACTGCTGGATGTCATCCTAAAACAAAGCAACAAAACAAAAAATTGGGAAAAGGAATTGAAGACACACTTCTCCAAAGAGGATGGATAGTGGCACATGAAAAGTGTTGTCTCATGTTATCTGGGCAATGAAAATCAAAATGACAAGATACCATCACACACCAGTGAGATTGGTATATATAAAAATGACTGGAAACAAAACAATAATGGCAGGAATGTGGTGCAAAAAGGCATACTCTTTCGTTGTTGGTGTAAATGTTGTATAGCTATTTCTATGGAAAATAGTACATAGACTTCTGCCTTACACGCGACCAATCTGGGTTCAATTCCCAGCATCCCATAGGTCCCCTGAGCACCACCAGGAGTAATTCCTGAGTGCAGAGCCTGAGCATTGCTGGGTGTAACCCAAAAAGGAAAAAAAATGGATAGGGGCTGGAAGGATAATATAGCAGGCAGGGCACTTGCCTTGAGTGCAGCTGACCTGGGTTCGATATTTAGCACCATATAAGGTAACCCCAGAGTCTCTCAGAAGTAATTCTGAGTGCAGAGCCAAAAGTAAGACCTGAGCATCACTGTGTGTGGTCCAAAACAAAACAAAGTCAACCTGAGAATATATCTTTCAAAGGATCCAGTAATCCCACTTCTCCGCATCTATCCCCAAAATACAAGAACATTAATTACAACATTATAATAAGATATGGAAACAATACAAATGTCAGTGACAAATCAATAGATAAAGACATTGTGATATACATACACACAATGGAACACTAAGTAATGCTAAGAGAAAATAAAATCTTGCAGTTCATGGCAACTTGGATGGAGCTGGAGGACACCCTGTCAAGTGAAATAAGTCAGAAGTACATAAAACTTGATCTCACTCACTTGTGGCATAAAAAGGAAAAAAAGGAAACACTATCAAAAGGAGACAAATCCTAGACCTCTGACTGCAGAATCTGCATCATTAAGCAGTGGAGGAGAGGGATGAGGGGAGTCGGGAGGGAAAGGACTTGCCTGAGGTGACATGGGACAGTGAAGGGGAGGGGATCTGGGCACTTCACTGGTATTGAAGGCATTTTGCACATTAAGTTCATGAAAGTTAACAGTATTGAGATAATGTTACCTAAACTTAAAAATAGAATTAAAGTTACAGAATTTAAAAGCATTTTCAAACCATGTAAAATGACAAAACTTACAGTACCTATATATATATTATTATTAAATATTATCAATAATGCTGACTTAATCATTTGAGAAAATGAGACATGGGGCCTACACCATTTGTACCTAAGGTTCTACAAACATGATGTATGTTGTGTTAGGAATCTACATCATGATGTTGTTGGATAACACAATTCTTAAAAAATGAAAACAGAAACCAAACCCCAAAACATTATGCTTTTGTTGTTTAAAATTTTTTTTCTCATTTTAATGATCTGAGTTAGTAACAAACAAATATACAAAATTGTCTTTCACATTTCCATACATTGTGTTATGGACCACTTAAAACTCTGAACTACAAATGCAAGTTTCTTTGTATCCTTAATTTCAATTATTTTCACTTATAAAGGTGATTTGTGAAAACACGCATTTGTGAACATAGATATCAAGGATGCACATGTAAGTTTATGCACAACCAATAGTGTACATTGTTCACTATCACATTTGTGTACATTTGTGCAGTTACATATGAAAAGCAATGGACAAAGTCACAGCTATTCTGGAATATTTCAAACTACTTGAAAAACATTTTTTGAGAAACAGAAGTATGGTTTAAAACAAAAGCTGCATCCTGTAAATGCAATAAAATCCACAATGCTCATATCTGAAGCAACCTTTGGGGATTAAAGTGACTCAACAGCCTTCCAACTGCACCGATTTATGAATGTATCTTCAAAGTCATTGGTTGGATAGATAAGAGCTACTTAATTAAAATAAATATATATTAAAATAAAAGTGAGACCTTTTTTTAAAAGAAAATCTTTGTTTTGGGGCCACACCCAGTAATGCTCAGGGATCACTCTTGGGAGGGTGGGTCATAAGGGTGCCAGTGATCGAGCCTGGGTAAGCCATCTGCAAAGCCAAGGGCCTTACCCAAGGTCGTATCTCACCAGTCCTCGTTAGATTTTAAAACAAGAAGGATTTGAAAACAATATTGGATGAGTCATCTGTGTCTTTTTCTCTGGCTGGTTTTGGGTCGGGTCATACCCTGAGCAGTGCTCAGGAACCACTTCCAGTGCTTTAAAAGAAATTTAAAGACATTTAAGGCCATTTTAAGCATAGACTTTTCCCATTTTACTAATGTTCTCTACTTGACAATGTAATATTACAAAAACAGGCAATTTCTATAGTTGACTTCTAACTCAGATTTGTGATGTCATTTGAGGATCAACTTAAATACAAACTGGGTTATCATGCAAGAAGGAACAAGGAGGCTGCTTCTCCCACCACTTAACTGAACAAGAAATTAACACCAATGAAAATTTTTTTTCTATTAGTTCCAGGTATTTGCAGGAGGGCATGTTGAACCTGACTTAAAAATGTCTTTTTTTTTAGGTTGTGGCAATATGCTTTTTCTTTCTTTTTATTTTGGGTTCCACCTGGCGATGCTCAGGGGTTACTCCTGGCTCTGCACTGAGAAATTACTCCTGGCAGTCCTCAACGGATGATATGGGATGCTGGGGGTAGAACCTGGCTCAGTCATGTGCAAGGCAAATGCCCTATCTGCTGGCCCTGATTGTGGTATTATGTGCTTTACCTTTTTAACTGTAGCTACACCTTTAAATTATTACTGTATTATAAATTTTGAAGACCAGACAAGGAATGTGAATGTTAGTCAGCTAAGTATTTACTCAAGTTCATAAAAAAGGATTAATTTTCAGCTTTCAAGACGAACCTTACTTTTCTCTAAAGCCAAAGTTCGAAATGCGATGTGTCAAATAAGGTTTGACACAATATTTCTTCTCTAGAAACATCGCAGACTTGGCTTCTGATATTATGAAAATACTAGTTTGGCCAAAATAAGTACAACTGCAAACAATAAGAGGGTAATAGTAGTTGGAAAGAAAATGATTATTTTGTACAGATTAACTTTCGGGACACACTTACTTTTTGTAGACCTTTTCATGAAGAGAATAAAGCTAGTGAGTTTGAAAATATACTTCGACATCTACCCAAATACAAGCTGGCTTTCAGAAATATTTAAACCATCCATTATTCAGGAAAGTAAGCTGGGAAGCAATATAAAAACATATACTTCAAATAGTCCATTAAGAGATAACAGTGATCACTCTTAGCTTTGGAAAGAAACCAATTTCGTCCATAGTTGATCACAGAAAGAAATATGGCTGCTTCTTATTCTTACCCACTTAGCAAAATTAATGTCAAGAATCTAATTAAGTTACTTTTACCTATAAAAAAAACTTGCCTCAGCAAGGTTTTAAAAAGTAGCTTTTAGAATTGAAAACATTTAATCCTTGAGAGAAACTGCTATTATCGAGTATCTTGTCTGAGACAAGGATTATTTGATTAGGATTATTGCTTTTAATAAGATAACCATCATAAATAAATATGTAAGCTTAACTCAAATACTAATTTTTACTAAATGCAACAGTCTTTTATTCGCAAATCAAGTCTAAAGTTACCTTCAATTTGCTTTTGCCAGCCTAAGTATAAGAAGATTCAAAGTCAAGACAATATCAAAGTCTACACAAGCACCTCTTATTTGGGCAATCAGCAGTAACACTGCTTTCTTGATAGGATTTAAGGCACTAAATGGTGTTAAAAGAAAGAAACATGTGATGATTAACAATTTCTTTAGAATCCAAAAAAGGAAATCTTATAGAAGGACACTAGTAAAACTTTTTCTCAAACAAATAAGGCATCCTGTTGGCAAACACAAATAAAACACAAGGTCATGTTGAACCTAATACATTCACTGTCTCAGCTAATCTACTTGAAATACTAACTACGAACTAAAGAAAGCTACAATAGCATGTTATAGAGGTCTGAAAGGCACCAAAAGGAGAGGTCTGCCACTTCCAGTTCTAAGAATCAGGTGGTTGTGTTTTACACTGCATGTAGTCTGATTATGAATATTATTTCTGTCACAGGAAAATGTGCCTAGACTCTTATTTTAACAAACCAGTCAATCAAGTGCTAGTTCAATGAGAAATTGACTTTTATGAATTAGAAAATCAATGCAGTGTCTAACACAGCCCGTTTATAAAGCTACACTAATTCTGGTACTGAACGTATATTCTGGATAACACTGAAGCAAGTCTGTTTAAACAACAACAAAAAGGTTACCTCAAGATAGAAGTCAACAGAAATTCAATATATAACAAAATAAGATTTACTGAAAATAATAAAAGTATAGTAGAAAATACAAACATAATTATAACCACAATATTTCTTGTGAAAAATACAACTACCAGTGAAATAAAAAGTACAAGTGAAAAATTTTCCAAAGGAAAAACAGTATAAAGGAAAATACTTTTCTTTGAGATAGGTAAAATAGTATGTCATTGTTTTTTTAATCACAATATAATTTGATATAAAAAGCAGTCATATAATTGCACCAAGATCCATATCCAGTTTCCTGAACATGTTAAGAGTAAAAGGAGTTCATAAAGCAGAATGCAGTTTCTGAATTTTATATTTTAAATTGATGATATTCTCATACAGAATGTCACATAACACCAGATCCCTTTACATATTATACAACACGTTCGCATGTGTGGCCAGACATGATACAAACATACACTTTCTGTCACCTCTCTTTCATTCTGGTGTTTCGTCAGACAGGGAAAACAGAAAACCAAACCAAACCAAACAAATACAAAAACAAAGTTACTTAAGTGTTATCTCTCTAGCAATAAAGAACAATTATATTTAGTGCATGCTTCATCATTTGTCACAAAAACATTTCTGAAAATAAAACTCAGTTCCCCGATGATTTACAAAATAGAAAAATCATTCATTCGGATAAAAATGTGGTTGGGATTTAGGTCCACTTCCGAAGGAGTGACTTCCTTGGCAGCACCACTGTCCTTTAGCAGAGGTCACGATGCAAATTTCATGATCAAAGCAGGTGCGCCTGCAGGAGACTATGCTGAACATCGATTATCTGCGGCCCTAGGCCCTCTCTAACCACCCCACGTGGCCTTGTTATTAGTGCTATCTCAAGTAGGTGGGATTTTTGCGGAAATGTTAGGAACATTTCTGCTGTACGTGATTTAGGAGTTCTCCAAATTTTTCAAAAAGGTCTTCTACCCATTTTACATTTTTCATACAAAGTTGAACAATTTCTTCCTGTCCTAAATCTTCATTTTTTTTCTGCACAGAAGAAATCTAAAATAAAAAAGAATTGCCACATTAGCTTACACGTATGACTTTATAAACTCTTTGCAAGGACTTATTTAAATCCCGATGGAAGATTAATTCACCTATATTTGTCATTTAAAAGCAATTCCATCTACGGAAGGACCAACAAAGCAAGGACATAGTGTCCAACAGTGACAAAAAAATCCAAAACACAACACCTACATCTGCGTATAGGTTTGGTTACTGAAGAGGTAAGAGAAGAAGCTTGAAGGATGTAATGGTCAGTGGAGGAGGGGTGCTGGCACTTTGGTGGTGGACATGGTAACGCTGACTCCTAAAATACATGAACATTTACATTCTGGGGGGCGGGAGCAATAGTACAATGGGCAGGGTGTCTGTCCTGCACATGGCTGACCCAGCATCCCCAGCATTGCCAGGAGTAATTCCTAACTGCAGAGGCAGGAGTAACACCTGAGCAGCACAGGATGATGCCCCCAAACAACAAAAGACCAACCTCCCCACCCAAAAACAAACCAAAAAACATTTACATTCTGGTAAACTTATTACCTCAACAAAAATATTTAAAATTTAAAATTACAAGGGCTGAAGCGATAATCCAGTGGGTAGGGTGCTTGCCTCGATTGTGGCCGACCCAGGTTCGATGCCTGACATCCCATATGGTCCCCTGAGTACTACCAGGAGTAGTAGAGTCAGAAGTAACCCTTGAGCATCGCTGGGTATGACCCCCAAAATAAAAACAAAAACTTTTAAAATTTCAGCCATAGAAAATAACTAAAGTAAAATGATTAAAGTCTAGCTATGAATTTTGGCTTCTGGAGATAAGAAAAGACAAAAATGGCCCAAGCTTTCCCCATGTTTTTCAACTGTATTAAAAGCTAAATGACAAATTTGGGGGGTCAATTATGCACTTAGAGCGCTGTAAGAATAGTCCACATATTTTGCATGACTTTTTTCCACTTTTACTAGAGGTAACATTTCATAAACATCTTTCTGTATCACATCACTACAAATACATCAGATAAATCTTTAAGCCAATTCACCCCTTTTTAACTAAAAAACTGACAGCAGAGGTCAAAAAAGGGCAGTATTATCTATAACCTGTTTATCGCTATTGACCTTGGAGGATATTAATACTTATTCTCAAGCCACAAAATGGTAAGCTCTTCTATGTAATTTGTGAGCAACTTCAAATAGGCTACTTGAAAGTTAAAATTAAACTTGAACTATCATTTCTATCATGCCTGGGTATAAACCTCTTATTTCTCTACAATTAAGTGGGATCAAGTCATTATGGTGATATGAAAGACAGTGAATTTTCAAGAACAGTGGCTAAAGTAAACTAAAGGAGGATCATTATGTCTTATGGAGAACATTCAGTTAAGTAACACTGATTGCAGTAATGTGAAGTGAGTACTAACGCATTAAAAACATCACTTAGAGCTCTCCCACCAGAGGTGTGAGCTTCAAAGTTCATTAAATGAGACACACAACAATAAATCTCATCATTCTTTATATATTATAGACACATTGAAAAAAATAAATCTCTTTAAACATTTTAAAAAAAAGAGTATAGCTACAGTATCCCTAAACTCTGCAAAACCATACGTTACTATTGAAAAGAAGTCTAAATTATTACCTCATCTTTACATATAAGATAAACATGATATTTATAATGATGGAGTGAATGATACAAAGAATACAACTGTATTTTCTCTGGATCAACAGCAAACTCCTATAAAAAGAAAAAAAAAGACCTCATATATATTTGATCACAGATACAATGTTATTTTTCTTAGAACATTTGATCTTGGAATGTTTTTCTGTAGGGGGACTAGGGGTAGCTTCCCAACTGTTACTTGGGAGGCCTGGGGGCACCAGTGAGGATTCTCAGTGAAGCAGACCTGTGATTCAATGCTGGGATCCAAGAATGTAGAGCTACTCACGTTCTGGATGCTAGGAACAGCCAGGTCATCTCAGCAGTGCTGAGGATTAGGGGGCCACCTGGTGGTGGTAGGGATCAAACTCAGGTTGTACAAAGCACTGTTCTCCCATTGTTCATCGATTTGCTCGAGCGGGCCCAGGAACATCTCCATCATGAGACCTGTTGTTACTGTGTTTGGCATATTGAATACGTCATGGGTAGCTTTCTAGGCTTTGCCGTGCAGGCGAGATACTCTCGGTAGCTTGCCGGGCTCTCTAAGAGGGGTGGAGGAATTGAACCGATCTGAGTTTGATTCCTCCGCCCCTCTCAGAGAGCCCGGCAAGCTACCGAGAGTATCTTGATGTCTGGACACTACATGGTTCCGAGCACCTCTGGGCTTTTGACGCCTCCCAAACAAACAATACTTTCTTTTTCTTTTGTTTCTTTAAATTCTTTTGGTTTTTGATCCCCTGGTGGTACTCAGGGGACCATATGGGTACTGTGAATCAAATCCATGTTGGCTCCACTGTACGGTTCCATCTCTCCAACCCCTCAAAAAAATTTATTGAAAAAAAATGAATGAATCTTAATAACAACAACAACAACAACAACAACAACAACAACAACAACAACGCATTACAATACCGACATTGGCTATTTAGTCTTACACTAATGATACATTACTGGATTGGTCTTACAAAACATTTCTGCAACAAATAAAGGCATATATTCTTACGTATTTCTTCGTGGGGACATCACACCCAGCAATGCTCAGAGTTTATTCCTAGTTCTCCACTCAGGAATCACTCCTGGCAATGCTTGGGGAATCATATGAGATGCCAGAGATTGAACCTGGGTCAGCTGTATGCAAAAGCAAACACTACCTACTGTACTACTGCTCCAGCCCCTATATTCTTATGTATTTATGAATGAGTTTCCACAGGATATAATCTTGAGGTAGAATTGATGTTGTTAAACTGTTTCTGAAAAAGCAGTAACTCAAACTATATTTGAAAATGAAGAAATTTCAATATTGAATTTGTCTTTATTTTGGGATCAGACCCAGTGGTACTCAGGCCTTACACTTGGCGAAGCATCTGTGGATCACTCCTAGACAGACCTGGGGGAACATATGTAGTGCTGGACAAGGAAACCAGGTCAGCTACATGCAAGGCAAGTGTCTTACCCACTATACTATCTCTCAGGCCCCTGAACTCTCTTGTTTTGGGGTGGGCAACACTTTCCAATGCCCAGGGGATCCGACCTGTTACTACACTGGAAGTGTTTGCGGTATTTCTCCTCATGGTGCTCAGGGGGGACCATGTAATGGCTGGGCTCAAACCTGGACATCCAGCAAGTAAAGCATACGCTCCAGTCTTTTGAGCTATCTTTCTGGCCCCCCCTAAAGTTGAGCATTTTGAAGCTATGGAACCCCTGTGAATTCTTTTTATGGGATGTGGGCAGGTTAACTTATCTGTTATGCATCTGCAGCCAATGTCAAAATTAACTATATGAGCATATTTGGTGTGTGTTGTGTAGAATGTAGCTCACTGACAGAACACTTAGTGTTTTGCATTTTTAGCCTGTGTTTGATCTCTGGCATTGCCCTGCCCCTTTAATAAAAAAAAAAAAAACCCTCTTTAACTAAAGTCTATATATATAAGCATGAAACAACTTTAAGTAAGGCTACAAAGAAAATTAAATAAAAATTTAATTTATATAATTATGTCATATTAATGTCATACTGTGCTAGGTGGGCTGGAGCGAGAGCACAGCGGATAGGGCGTTTGCCTTGCACACGGTTGACCTGGGTTGGATTCCTCTGTCCCTCTCGGAGAGCCTAGCAAGCTACTGAGAGTATCTTGCCCGCATGGCAAAGCCTGGCAAGCTCCCCGTGACGTAGTCAATATGCCCAACACAGTAACAACAAGTCTCACAATGGAGACATTACTGGGTCCACTCAAGCAAATCGATGAACAACGGGAGGACAGTGCTACAGTGCTAGGCACTGATTTAAAAATAAAACCAAGCCCAAGTCCTTGAATCAGAGCTGTTCATTTTTGCCTGGGAAGATTTCACATTTGGCAACAACAGTAAAAGACATGATTCCATTAATTAAAATACACCTACCTGTGTAGATTTAGAGGTTGTCTTAGAAGTTCTTAGAGTTTTCTTATTATAAGCTTTGCCATTCATTTTGATTTTAGAAATAGCTGATCCCCCACTTTTTGCCTTAGAGTCTCGAGTAATTATCGTTAATTCAGGAAAGCTTTCCAAAGCATTCTTAAAAAAAAAAAGACATCAAGGGAAAAATCAATCTTAATTGCTATTCTTCAAACATAAAAATAAACACATACACACAAATACATGTGAGGGATATTTACAGTGTACTAAATACAAGATTAACAAAGTAATAATAATTAGAACATTATTCGTGTTGGAACAAAAACAGGCACCTAGACCAATGGAATAGAGTTCAGAAATGAACTAAAAGGCACATATAGACATCTAACCTATGATAAAGGAGCTAAGATCGTGTAATGGAAAAAGGAAAACCTCTTCAACAAATGGTGCTGGGAAAATTGGACATACACAGGTTTGAAGCTAAAATGCTCAAATTCTGTAAGCCAATGCTAAATCAATTATAAAAAAAAAAACTAAGTAGACTCTAAACTGGAAACAACAGTCAAGGACAATGAAAGGAGAAAACTTTGGTATTTTGGGAGGAGGGGCCACGGCCAGCAGTGCTTAAGCCTTACTCCCCACTGAGTTCTGGGATCGCTTCTGGCTATCATGGGGGTGCTGAGGTAGAAATGGGGTTGTTCGTGAGCAAGGTGAGCATCTACCCATGGGACAACCTTCTAAAGAGCTAAGATGCAATAGATGACTTGAGGTAAAGAAATGCTGAGGAAAATATTATCATCGATTTCAAAGGGTTCACGTGGGGAGGGCCAGAGTGACAGTATAGTGGATAGGGTGCTTGTTTTGAATGCGGCCAACCTGAGTTCGATCCTGAGCACTCAATATAGTCCCTCTAGTGCCTTCAGAAGTGATCCCTGAACAGGACGCCAGGAGTTAAGATCCTAGCATCACTGAGTATGGCCCCAACAAAAAAAAATAAGTTAAAAAAGTAAATTCTAAAAATAACAACAGCAAAACGCCACCCCCCTCCAAAAAACAAAGATCTGAGAGAGTGGATGGAGTCCAAAGGTGAGCACATGTTTTACATGCATACCGACACACACACAAAGCTTTTCTTGAATCTTAAAATTACCCAGATAATGTTGAGAAATGGTGCTAATTATTTCCAAAGAGAATAGAACATATTTTAAGTATCTATTTGTAATAGTTTACATTAAGCCATTCTTTGGTTTTGGTCTGGTTTCTGGTGACACCTGGTGGTGTCAAGATAAATGAACAGGTTGTGTGTGTGTGAATAAATCAGTAAGGAAAGAAAATTTTGATCACTGCACCAAGAAAAAGCTAACTCACTATTTCAGGGATATACCAAAGCCTTCTCTATGTGTACTAGATGCACTGCACCCACCACTACGGTCTCAGTGCCATCCTACCCAACCCACCCATCCCACCCAACACCCTTTCCCTCTAGAAATCACCAGAGTAATACTGATCCTAATTATAGGAAAAATTGTGAAAGTTTGAAGAGGTTTGAAAGTAAAAAAAAGGCAGTTTAAAGGGATGACACATTTGGAAATCACTAGGTAGATGAATTTTAATACCGGAAATTGAATTTAGAGAAAAAAAAGATGACTGACACAAAGAATTCACATGATAAAAAGACAAGGTAAACAGACTAATAAAAACAAATTTCTATTGGGCAAAAATTCTATAAAATGAGAATTACTCCTGTGAGGCGAGTGCATCAGCAGCCTGATGGTGACGTCAGACTTCCAGATACCCCAAAACTGCTACTATGCCTTTGGTAAGACCCCAAAAACTTGGGGCAAAGTTTACCAAGAGAGTCAGTCACTGTCACTGTCCTGTCCTCCCGTTGTTCATCGATTTTCTCGAGCGGGCCCAGTAACGTCTCCATTGGAGACTTTGTTGTTACTATGTTTGGCATATCGAATACATCACGGGTAGCTTGCCAGGCTCTGCTGTGTGGGCGAGATACTCTCGGTAGCTTTCCGGGCTCTCCGAGAGGGGTGGAGGAATCGAACTCGAGTCGGCCATGTTGGCTGCGTGCAAGGCAAACGCCCTACCGCTGTGCTACCAAGAAAGTAAACAGCCAAAAGTTAGGTATGTGGGAGACACACCCACAAACCACCTTCGGCTCAGCAATATAATTGGAGGCAAGGCCTCTCTGGTTCCTGATCAAACTGCTTAACGGTCATGATCCCAGAGACTCATAGACAAATCTCAGAACCCAGTAGCTTTTGGCAGAGATGCATCCGGTCCCCGCAATGGGTTACCAGCGCTGGACCACCCCAGAGGGAAAAGGGTGTTGTCCCTCTGCCTGCTCCCTCTTGGCGGCTCAGTGGCCACCATCTTCCAGAGGCCATTGGACAGACAGGTTTGGGCCCGCAGTGACGAGACACAAGGGGCCTCATGGGATGGGGGTGGAGCCGGTCCTTTCCTCTCCACCCTAATGAGACTCTGAGTCGCCACCCACCAATGGCCTCTCTGGCTGCTGATCAAGCTGCTTAATGGCCATAGTCCCAGAGACTCGGAAACAAATCTTGGAACCCAGCAGCTTTTGGCAGAAATACGTTCAGTCCCTGCAGTAGGTTACCATGCCAGGACACCCCAGGTGGGAATAGGTTTCATGCCTTGGCCTGTTCTCCTGGCGGCTCAGTGGCTGCCATCCTCCAGAGGCCATTGGACGGTCAGGTTTGGGTCTGCAGTGATGAGACACGCAGGTCCTCATGAGATGGGGGGTAGAGCCGGCCCTTTCCTCCCCATCCCAATGAGACCCCAAGGCGCCACCCACGAATGGCCTCTCTGGCTCCTAATCAAGCTGCTTTATGGCCATGACCCAAGAGACTCAGAAACAAATCTCGGAACCCAGCAGCTTTTGGCAGAAATGCGTCCAGTCCCTGCAGTAGGTTACCAGCGCCAGGCCACCCCAGGGGGTAAAGGGTGCTGTCCCTCCACCTGCTCCCCCACTTGGCGGCTTGTGACTGCCATCCTCCAGAGGCCATTGGACAGTCAGGTTTGGGCCCGCAGTGATGAGACACACGGGGCCTCATGGGATGGGGGTGGAGCTGGCCCTTTCCTCTCCACCCCCAGCAAGATCCTGAGTTGCCGCCCATGCACGGCCTCTCTGGATCCTGATCAAGCTGCTTAACGGCCATGATCCAAGAGACTCAGGAACAAATCTCGGAACCCAGCAGGTTTTGGCAGAAATCCCTCCAGATTTAATTGTTAAAATTTCGAATTCCAAAATTGTGTGGCCATTACTGCGGCTGTGTGGCATCGTATGTCATTCATAACCAGCAATAGAAAACAAATTGTCTACTGATGCCTTATTGGCAGATCTGAGTGTTGGGCTAAAATCCCAAATAATAATGGTGGGTCTGGTGTCAAAATATTGAATGTAATCAAAGTAGAGAGTGATGTGGAAATCATCTCCCAACGGGTATGGGAAGGGTGTGGGATAGGGGGTATACTGGGGTTTTTGGTGGTGGAAAATGGGCACTGGTGAAGGGACAAGTATTTCATTGTATGACCGAGACTTAAACCCGAAAGCTTTGTAACTGCTCTCATGGTGACTCAATAAATAAAATTATAAAAAAGGAAAAAAAAATGAAACTAGAGTGGAAAAAAAGAGAATTACTTCCATAAATTTTCTTTCAGATTATATTTAAGAAAGACTATGATTGTTGTTGATTTTTGCTATTAAATCTAAAGGAAATACCTTGAACGACTGATCCAAATGAAGATTCAAAAGAAGTCTCTTTCTGTTATCATTCAGCATGCTATCTATTTTTTTCATATGAGGCAAAAGTAGCTCATCTGAAACAAGATAAAAATGCATTATAGTAAGATGAAATGTTAACACATAAATTTATTAGAAAAATCAATCCTTTTCTCAAACACTAATCATAATAATATTCCAAATTTGAAGTAGTTAGAGGCAGAGAAAAAGTAGGTAAAAAAAATAATCGGGGCTGGAGTGATAGTACAGCTGGTAGGGCGTTTGCCTTGCCTGCAGCTGACCCAGGTTCGATTCCCAGCATTCCATATGGTCCCTTGAGCACTGCCAGGAGTAATTTTTAAGTGAAGAGCCAGGAGTAACCCCTGAGCATCGCTGGGTGTGACCCATAAAGAAAAAAAAAATCCAGTGTCAAAACCAGAAGGGAAGAGTCTGATTATTTTTAGAAAAAGGAAGACTAAAAAGTATGACAGAGATTTCCACCCAAAACTTCTGCTTCCTTTTTAACCCTTAAACTTTAAGCTTGTTTTCATTATTTATTTTTAAAGTGCTTGTTGCAGGGGTCACCTCCCCGGGGAGATGTACACGGGGAGAGAGACACTGCCAGGGAAAGATCCCAGGATTTTCTCTGTGCAAACACTAACCCAACATTAATCTCTTTTAGTACTATCAAAGTATAAATTAATTACTTTTGGTGCTGCATTGGTATTTTTTGGTTAACTAGAATCTCATTTATAAGCTGAATAACATTTATTCATTTTGCAGTTCTGCGATCCAACCAAGGGCCTTACAGATTCAAAGCCTGTGTTCTACCCACTGAGCTACACCCTCTACTTTTTAAAAAAAAAAAAATGATACTAATCACCCTCTAGTTTCCTTTCTGAAATGTGTATACAATTACCAGAATCTGGTTACTAACTTCAGAGCTGAAAAAGATGTTATGTATTTGGAATAAAGCAATGATCTGTGAAAGATCACTTCTCTAGCTGGAGAAACAGTCTTAGTGAGGCACACTTTCTATGGACACTATAATATAAATGAAAAATTTGTGGCTTTTTTGTTACTTAGGGTGTGTGGGGTCAGGGGAACTATGGTACTCAGGGGTCCTCCTCTGGCCATACTTGGGCAGTTACGCAGTATATCTGTGATAGAACCCAGAGTCTTACATATTCAAGGCATGTGCTCTACCACTTGAGCCACACACCTGTCTCTGAACTATTTTCAGGCTACCTGGTGATTCTGGGGTAGGAAGGGGAAGCCTACTCCTGGCTCTGTGCTCAGTCGTAACTCCAACAGTGCCTGGGGGATCATGCTATGCCCAGGATTGAACCTGGGTTTCTCATATGCAAATCACATCTCAATCCAATGAACTATCTTTCTGATCCCTGGGGATTAAAACAAAATAAAATCTTTACGATAGATTAAACTTTTCAAATACTACAAAAATTTACATTTCACAAAAACATTCAACTATTTGTAATTATTTTAAATTAGTCACAAAAATATCTTCCCCAATTCTAAATCACGATCACGATCATCCTGTTGTTCGTCGATTGCCTTGAGCAGGCACCAGTAACGTCTCCTTCGTCCTAGCCCTGAGATTTTAGACTGCCATATTCAAGGCTCTTTCAGGGCTAGGAAAATGAGACCCATCATTGTTACTGGTATTAGGCATATTGGGTACGCCACGGGGAGTTTGCCAGACTCTGCCATGTGGGCAGGTTAGATTCGGTAGCCTGCCAGGTTGTCTAAAAGTAAGAATGAGATAATAAGATGTTGCGCGGCCGCAAATGCGGCTGCGCGCTTCTGGGAGCTGAGTTTTGTAGTCTCTGGGTCTTGGCCCTTGATGCGATTACATGGCGCCAGTTCTAAATAAATATCAGAAATGATAAGCATAATAGGAAAAAAATCTAAAACATAATTACCCCATGCCACAATGCCATAGAGACCGTACAGGGACTAAGTTGCTTGCTTTGCATGTAGCTAACCATGTTTTGGACCCACACGTGGTAGTCTGAGCAGCACCAAAAATAATCCCTGAGCACATTGCCAGGAGCAGTCCTGAGGTCCATGGATTAACCGTCCGTCCGTCCGTCCATCCATCCATCCATCCATCCATCCATCCATCCATCCATCCATCCATACCTATCAGTCTATCTACCGACCATCCAAAAATAGCCACTACTAACTAACTGAGGAAGAATGACATAATTAAACACAACACCCCCTCCTAAAACAAACAAACAAACAAACAAACAAACACACTCAAACAACAACAACAAAAATTAGGGAATTAACTACTGAATTTTAAAATTTTATTAATTTTTTTTGGGGGGAGGGTCACACCCAAAAATGCTCAGGGGTTACTCTACACTCACGGAGTTACTCCTGGCGGTGCTCAGAAGACTATATGGGATGCTGGGGATTGAACCCAGGTCAGCTGCTTGCAAGGCAAATGCCCTACCTGCTGTACTATCGCTCTGGCCCCAGATTTTACGAAATTTTTATAGTTTTCCATAATGGTGCTGGAATGGAGAGGACAGGGACAACGACTAGGGCACTGAAGGGACACTGTGGCCCACAGATTCAGGGCTAGAGCCCAGCTACGCAGTGCTCTATCCCCTGAGCTCCATCCCAGTCTTAACTAGTGTGATCAAACTGTGGTGTTTTAAACATTAATTTCCTATTTAACTTTAGGAAATGCATGAATTTCTTGGAATCTCTGTTACAAAATACTTTTATACTAGATTATCTCTAACGTTCCTTCCAGTTTTACATGACAAAGATGACTAATGTACATTTTTAGTAGCGTCTGGTGAATGCTGTAATAGCTGAAGACCATTAGATCTAAGGCTGGAGTGTTAGCACAGCAGGTAGGTTTGCCTTGCACGTGCCTGACCCGGCTAACCCGACCCAAGTTCAATTTCTCCGCCCCTCTCGGAGAGCCCGGGAAGCTACCCGTGCTGTATTTGATATGCCAAACACAGTAACAATAAGTCTCACAATGGAGACGTTACTGGGCCTATTCAAGCAAATTGATGAACAATGGGAGAACAGTGCTACATTAGATCTAAAAATTAATCAATTTCATTCTTACTTTAAGAATAGAAATTACAAAATAGAGTAATAGTACCAATAAATATAAGCCACTGTTCATATTGTAATAATCCATATATTTATCCACTGTTAATTGATTAGAGGTAATCTTTTACTGGACACAAATACATTTTAATCTTCACATCATCTGACTAATCTTTCCGATTATTAAATAACAGAATGTATGATCACCAGGAGTTTCCATATAATATACACCACAGTGAAATATTACTATATTTTTTAAATTTTATTTTTATAAAGTTGTTCACAATAATTTATTACATTTGATATAACACCAATCCCACCATCTTTACACATTCCCAGCACCATATTTTGAATATTTCCACCTCAAACCCCAAAGTTGGCCCTCAAAGCAGATAGATTTGATAGATTCTTGAGTAAAAGAAATTAATGGGTCGTAAACTAATTTGTCATGAATATTAATAGTTACATAATTTGTTAACTGACAGTATATAGAAAATATGACACAAATCACAAATTAAACATGCAATAATATACAGGGTTTTTTTTTTTTTTTTTTTGCTTTTTGGGTCACACCCAGCAATGTACAGGGATTACTCCTCACTCTGCACTCAGGAATTACTCCTGGCGGTGCTTGGGATGCTGGGAATCGAACCTGGGTCAGTAACATGCAAAGCAAACGCTCTACTCACTGAACTCTCACTCCAGCCCCTATTATAGGAGTTTTAAAATCCAGAAAATACTAAGTACATACCATTGCTCTTCTCCAAGGCTTGCATTGTGTCAGGATCCAGAGCAATACTAACTAGCAATTCCATGTAGCTCTTAAAGGTTTCCTTCATCGCTCTTGTGTTCAAAAAACGAGTGACAAAGGGAGCTGGAGGATCAAATTCTGGAAGGGAAAAAAGAGGAAATACCACATTTTCTTTACTGAAAACTTCAAAAGCAAAAAGAACCTATTAGCAAATCTATGGTATAAACATATTTCAGATGCTCTTTCTCTTGGTTCATATACCAAAATCGCTGGGGATTTTTTTAAAAATAATTTCCCTGGAAACTTTTTTTTAAAAATTTTTTTTTAGTCACACCAGCGATGTTCAGGGGTTATTCCTGGCACTGCACTCAGAAATTACTCCTGGCGGTGCTTGGGGGACCATATGGGATGCTGAGGATTGAACTTGGGTCGGCTGCACGCAAGGCAAATGCCATACCTGCTGTACTACTGCTCCGGCCTCTTTCCCTGGAGACTTTTAAAAACCCAACTCTTGTTGCTATGCTTAAGACCCTTAGTCTGTGACATAGAAATTTTTTCATAACAGTATTATATACTTCATATACTTAGTATAGCTGGTAGGACGTTTGCCTTGCACCACCTAACTCAGATTCAATTCCATGCACCCACCCCATGTGGACCCCCGAGACTGCCAATAGTGATCCCTGCATGCAGAGCTGGAAGTAAGCCCTGAGCAACACTGGGTGTTGCCCCAAAGCCTTACTCCTGAGTAAATCCCTTAATGTTCTATGTGATAAATGAGAAATACTATCATAAAGCATTTATGCCATAAAGTCTGATAGTTATCCCCAAGAGAAGCATCCATTAGCTATCCTCAAGGCTTAAAGCACTGGCTTTAAAATGCCAGGTATGATGTTGCAGGATGTGCCACCATTCACCATACCATCCAAAATAGGCTGTAGCTAAATTTGGCCCAGTTATCACAGTTGTCAGTTACTGCTCTAGACTACTGAACTGCAAATAGTACTTAGCAAATAGTATTTAGAAAATAGTACACAACAAGTTTTATGATTAAAGGAATATGTGCTGTTGTATTCTTGGTTTTACAATGGTCTCAGATTTAACTTTAAAGATTATGTATAAATAGGTATAACCTAAATAAACTCTTTCATGTATTCAATAGTTTTTAAGAGTGTAAAAGTGCTTCTAAAGCAGAATGATAACTTCCAATCTGCTTCAACAATTTCATCTTATAGAAGAAATAACTAAGGCACCTAGCTTAGTAACTGGCAGCTGGTTGGCTTGTGGTAAATATATAGCACTCTATTATAAAATTCATAAATAGGTATACATGGAATATACACTTTATCAGAGCCTATTCATTATAGATCTAGAGTTACTACTTCCTAGGGCTTCCTTCCTTCCTAGGCTTGCTTAATTCTTTTCTCATGGTACAAGCATGACTCAGAAGTTTAGAACTAGAGGGACTCTTACTCAGTACTCTGATCTAATTCTCATTTTCCCCAAAGCGGTGAGGTTATTGGCATCACTAAGGCTAGAATGCACAAATCTTCCTTTATAGCCCTTTCTACTTTACAAAGCTGTGTGTAGGCAGAGTTTACACCTAGTGTATTTACTTATAGTAAATGGGAGTTCATTTTTATAAAAGTTTAAACAAAACTGAGTGGTGAAAGTAGGTAAGGGGATATATGTGATAACCTTTCAGTATTGCAAAGTATAATGCCCAAAAGGAAAGTGTGTGTTGGGGGGGGGGGGAAGAGAGAGAGAGAGAGAGAGAGAGAGAGAGAGAGAGAGAGAGAGAGAGAGAGAGAGAGATTATGAATGCTGGGGGTGGGTGGGGGGGTGGGAGTAAAACTGGGGACACTGGCGGTGGGAAAAGCATACTGGTGAAGGGATGGGTGTTGGAACATTATATGATTGAAACCTAGTCATAAACAACTTTGTAATTGTGTATCTCACTGTGATTCAATTTAAAAAAAATAGTTTAAGCAGGACTTAATTAGGCAGCTGAATTTCTTGAAAATTTTTTTTTTTTTGCTTTTTGGGTCACACCCAGCGATGCTCAGGGGTTACTTCTGGCTCTGCACTTAGGAATTACTCCTGGTGGTGCTTGGGAGACCATATGGGATGCTGGGAATCGAACCCGGGTTGGCCACGTGTAAGGCAAACACCCTAACCGCTGTGCTATTGCTCCAGCCCCTTGAAAAATGTTTTTTTTGAGGGCCAGAGAAATAGTATAGGGATGAGGGTTGCTGGCCTTGTATCCCACCAACCCTGGTTCGAATTCCCACTGAGCACAGAGCCAAGAATAGCCCATGCTGGGTATGACAAAATAAGTTCTAGACTGTCAACATCACATCTCTCCATTCATGTAGATAACCTTATTAGGACACTCACCCTCATTATCACTACTATTAGAATGAATCTCAGGAGATGAATCAGATTGGGATGATGAAAATTCTTCTTTCCATTTCTTCCGTTTCTTTGGTGGTGGCTCAGCTTTTACTTTCAGCTGCTTAACTTTGGGTTTCACAGAAGGGGTTTTTGTAGTCACAGTTTTTGGTGTTGGAGGATCAGAAGTTTTACTGCTACTACTTGGCTTTGATGGAACAGTTCTGTAATGTTACAAATCAGTTTCATTAAAGTACTGTAATCTTAACAAATTAAAAGACTAACCAATGAGACTCACTGAAGAAGAAAAGCAATGGTCTTAACACACCTCCAAAATATATAGTCCAAGTCCTACAAATTGATATCCAGTGGTGATGCCCCTGCCCATGAAATTCTCATAGATTCTTTATCTGCTGACATTCAATATTCAGTTATTAAGGCTCCAGAAGTGCAATTTATTTCGCTCTCCTTCTTCCTCCCCTCTAGTCACTAACTTATTTTACAGAGAATGAGACTATAACAGTGGGTTTCAGAACTGAAACACAACAAACTACTGATAGATCAACAGAAACTCCTACAGGTTCTAGGGGTGTTAAGTTTTCATGTGAAGACTCAACTGCATTTGTCCTAGATCCCCTCCAGGAGACCTGCAGTCTGTTCTTCCTAGAGACTTCAGTCATAACATGAAGTGGGATGTTTTTTATACCTTCTCAATCTATAGAGTGAGAATAACCTAGGGTCATACCCTCTTTCTAATACATACCACAAGAAATGTGGCTTGACCAGTTATGCTTTGGATTCATGCTCCAGACAACCAAGTCAAATTAATATTCAGTAACTTTAGTGTCTATCTGTCTACTTACATACAGGTTTTGGAGTTTTATCAAGCATTTATTTCACTGGAATTTGACAGTCCATTAGTTTCATTTTATACATGAAAAGGGGAGGTGGAGGGTATGCATCCAGGAAAATTGGTTTAACTCCAGGCTGCAAAAAGCTGTACCTGAATCTTTGGATTGTAAATTCTATTCCCCCTACCCTCCCCATGATGCAAAAGGAACCTGGGAAAGAAAATGGTACCAGACTTACCATGTTTAGTTATGAGCTTTACAGTTCCTGTCTCATTACTTTAAAAGATACTACATTAGGGACTTGGCTTTAAACTTGTATAGAACAACAAAAAAGTCTCTTTGGTTGATGTAATTCTGCCAGTAATAACCTTTCACATAACCACTATACAGTTACATAAGAAAATACCTGATATTTTGCGAAGGCTTATTTCTTGGCTTTTTGGAACAGACTCTAACATATTCCTTTTTGTTTGAACTTTCAGTGAACTTCACATATATCCTTTTGTATTTACTCTTTGCATCTCCAAAGTATCCAAGGTACTAAGGAAAAAAAATCCACTTTAATTACATAACTATATATTCTATACATGAAATATTTTTTTTTCAGTTCATAATTAAGACCAGCATTCTTGTTTTTAAAAATGCAGCTCTGGCTAAGCTAATTTCACCCTGAATAAAAATGATTGCAGGGGCTGGAATGATAATTACAGTGGGTAGAGCATTTGCCTTGCATGCAGCTGACCCAGGTTTGAGCCCTGGGACGCCGTAAGGTCTCCCAAGCCCACCAGGAGTGATCCCTTGAGCACATGGCCAGGAGTAAGCCCTGAGCACCACCAAATATGGCCCCAAAATTAAAATAAATAAATAAAACTCCAGTAAGCACATACACAGACTCAATCTCACTTGGCTAATCATCAGATATTAAACACTACTAAACAATTACATTTATTCTCCAGCAGGGAGGTGAGGTGGGGGAAGCTAATGTAAACAAGCATTTTACTTACACTATTTGTAGCAGCAAATTCTCTTTGTCCATCTCGAATTTCAGGAACAAATTTCTGTAATAAAGCTTTTTGTACTTTCCAAATAGCTGGAGGTTCTTTCCCTGTTTGTAAAGCCTCCTACAATAAGCAGAATTAATTGTATTTATAAAAACTAGCACTAGCAACTTATTTTAGATTTTAGACCCACATATCATAATGGGTTTCAAAAGTTTTGGGGGTTTAAAAATTTTTTATTTTAAATTAAGGGCTATGGCGATAGCTTAAAGAGCAAGAATACATGTTTTGCATGCAAGAACCCTGAGTTTGGTCCCTAGCACCCTAGGGTACCCTGAACAACACTAAAACTGATGTCTGAGCATTGCCAGGTCTGGGCCCAAAACTTAAAACAAATAAAAACATCCTAAACTAGATAGTCACATAAAAACTTCTAATAATGAGTTAGAAACTTTGAAAAAAATTAACACCTAAAACCTCTTTAATTACTAATAACTAAATGTGACATACTGATTGGTCATGTCATAATGTAATAAATTAAGATACAATTTAAAATTATTTTAAATCATTTTATTTTTGTCTGGGGAGCTCCTCCAGTGGTGCTGGGGCCTAAGGGCCACTCCCAAATTTTATTTTGCAAAATATCTGATCTGTACAGATTAATTTTATTAACACTCATGAAAACTACAAATAATTATAAACCTATAGCATTTGCACCTGAAGCTAAAAATTATCATGAAATCCATCATAAGGGCATCATAAGGGCAGACCTATTGTCACAGGCCTAAGCTATGACAAATATACTGGTGAACTGTGACATCACCTTAAAAGTCTCTATATCTTCTATCTTTACAACAAATTCGTCACGTTCTCTGTATTGGCCTTCTCCTCCACTTTCTGTATCCTCCTCATCTGTAAAACCTTCTATGGCTATAGTGTCTTGTCCTTTTGCAAACTGGTCCAAAGGAAGACTATCAAGTTCAACGGATTTTTGGGGTTCTGCAGAATTTGTATTTTCCAAGTTGTTTACTGTGGATGAAGCTGAGTAGAGAAGTTCTTGCTTCACTGCGCCCGCAGTGGTGGAAGACGTAGTAGCAGAACCAGTAGTGTTGGCAGTTGAACTAGTGGCTGCTACTTGTATGGCTTCTGAAATTAGAGCAAGGAAAAGAAAATCAATGACATAAATAGACACTTAACTGTTTTGTATAACACCTGCAATTTAAAAAGAAATTAAAAGTTTCTTTTTGTGGGCCAAAGAGAGAGTACAGTGGGTAGGGCACATGCTTTGCATGCAGTTGACGTTGTTTCAATAACCCCCCCCAACACCCAACATGGTCCCTGAGCACTGCCAAGGGCGATCCCCAAGTGCAGAGCAAGAAGTAAGCTCTGAGCATCAACAGGTACAGCCCTAGAACCAATCAATCAACAATAAAGACTTTTGATATGCAACAAAAACCACAGTAAGAAATGAAAGAACAGTTAATTTCAGATAATTCCAAGAATCAAAGAGCTGATAATTACATCCAGATGAAATCTAAGTATCCAAAAACTTATATTTAAGCTCATCCATACAAAGATTTTTAAAAACAGAGATACAAAAGTGAACAAAAGATCAGGGACCAGAGAGATAACACAGATATAGGGTGCTTGCTTTGCATTTGGCCAACTAGGATTTGATCCTTGAGCACAGAGCCAGGGGTGAGCCCTGGGAACTACTTGTGTAGACTCCAGACAAAAACAAACAAACAAACAGAAAATAACAAATGATCAAAGTTGTGAAGAATTCCTAGAAGGAAAGCTAGATGTGGAAAACAGCCCCCAAATACTTTAAAACAGCATTCTACGCTACAGAAAGAAAATGGACAATATAGCAACAACATGAAAAATCAATGCCAACAAAGAATTTAGATGAAACTAGACAAATTCTTTGAAAGAAACCAACTATAGTAAAGGTGTCCAAGAAACAGAATACCAAGGTGAGATAGAGAATAGCAGGTAGGGTGATTGCCTAAAATACTGCTTACCCAGGTTCAATCTTTGGCACTTTATAGGGTCCCTTGAGCACCTCCAGGAGTGATCTCTGAATGCAGAGCCTGGAGTAAACCCTGAGTGCCACTAGGTATGAATATAATAAAAGAAGAATACCTGGAAAACCCAATAGCAAAAGAGGAAAAAAAATTTTTTATATCCCACAAATAAAGTATAAGATTGATTCCAGCAACAGTGAACTATGAATACCAACCCATCATTAACTCCAAAAAAATGAAACACACTCCAACTAATTTTATCAATCAGTATTAATCCGAAACTTAAATCAGTCAAAAACATGGAAAAACTGTAAACCAGTATGTCTTATATATAAAATGAAAACACAAAATTTTTCAAAAATGAGTATATCAATCAAAGATGTTTATATAACATAAACATCCTAAGCCTGGAGACAGAACCGTGAGTCCAACACTGATCTGATCTGTTATACCACAAGTTCTCCTAAGCATGGTCTTGAGGCTCTGAGCACCACTAATGTTATCCTGGTGGCTCCCACAATTGCAGGTACTGAGAAGCACCACATCCTTTGACTAGCACTGAACAACGAGCCCCGTTGGTCAAGTACTACCAGAAGTGGCCCCTGGGCCATCAGAGCATCTAGCCGAAAGATTCTACCTTCCCTTTCCCTGGCAATTATATTTCATGACCAAGTTGGTTTTTGTTTTGTTTTGTTTTGCTAAAGGGGGAAGCTATGCTCAGGACGTCTAGGGACTCTCACAGGCAATTCTCCACCAATCAGGGTGAGCATTCAGCACAAGGGCTTGAGGATGCAATGCAATTTGGGTCCTACAGTGCAGAGGATATCTGGACGACCCCAGAAGAGCTAAGGAAACTCCAGGGCTATATCCAGTGATGCTTGGAGGACCAGGTAGTACAGACAACTGAAACCACATTGGGTGCATGCGAGGCAAGGTCCCTAACCACTGTACTATTTCCTGGCCCATGTTCAAGTTGGTTTTATCCTGGAGATGTATGCGGAAGTGTAAGATCAATCACCACATAGATAAAGTGAGGATCAAGAACATAGAATCATCTTAACAGATACGAAAAAAAATTTTACAGTAGGGCTGGAGCGATAGCACAGCAGGTAGGGCGTTCGCCTTACAAGCGGCCAACATGGCCGACCCGAGTTCGATTCCTCCGCCCCTCTCGGAGAGCCCGGCAAGCTACCGAATATGCCAGACACAGTAACAACAAAGTCTCCAATGGAGACGTTACTGGGCCCGCTCGAGCAAATCGACGATCAACGGGAGGGCCTTTACCTTTACCTTTTGGTAAAATATAATGTACTTAAACACTTTCAGGATAAAAACACAATCTAAAAAAAAGATGGAAAATTCTTGAACATGATAAAGAGCATCTACTAAAATCTAACAGCTAACATTATACTTAATGGTGAAAAATTAGATGTTTCCCCTTAAGAGATTCCTGAAGAAATAAAACTGTAACTATTTCTATTTGCAGATGACATAACGTTATATAGAAGATCCTAAGAATCTACTGAAAAACTATTACAACTAAATATTTAAGTTCAATACATTTGCAGTGGGCTGGAGCGATAGCAGAATGGGTAGGGTGTTTGCCTTGCATGCGGCCGACACAGCCGACCCGAGTTCGATTTTTCCGCCCCTCTCGGAGAGCCCTGCAAGCTACTGAGAGTATCTCGCCCGCACGGCAAAGCCTGGCAAGCTACCTGTGATGTACTCAATATGCCAAACACAGTAACAAGTCTCACAATGTTACTGGGCCCGCTCGAGCAAATCGATGAACAATGGGAGGACAGTGACAGTGACAGTGACATTTGCAGCATATAATAAACTGCATTCTTATGTACTTGCTATGAACCATCCAAATAAAAACTTAAGACCATGATTTCACTTAAAATAGCATCAAAAAGAAGAAAATACTAATTTAAAAAAGGTAAAAATAAATGGGCTGGAGAGATGCTACAGCAGATAGGGCATCTGGCATGTGGCCGACAATGGTTAGATATCCCATGTCCCATGCAGTTCCAAGTATCACCAGAAATAATGCCTGAGTGCAGAGCCAAGAGTAACTCTTGAGCATACCTGGATGTGGCCCCAAAATAAAATTAAAAAAAATTTTTTTAAAGGTACATAGTTGGAACTCCAGTTGGACACAGTACAGTGGATAACCTTTGTCTTGCACACAGTCAACCTCGTTTGATCACTAGCACATCAAATGGTCTCCTAAGCCCTGTCAGGAGTGATGCCTCAGTGCAGGGCCAGGAGTAAACCCTGAGCAATCGGGCATGACTGTCCCTCTTATGAAAATGCAAAGTTCATATAACAAAAATTATGCAAACATTGTTTAAGTAATTAATGAGTTAATTAAGTGAAAATATTCCATGTTTGTAGATTGGAAGACAGTATAATATGGACAGCAATGCTATACTGATTATAAAATCAGCAGGATCTCTTGGAGCCAGAGTGATGGTAGGGTGTTTGCCTTATACGCAGCCCACCCAGGTTAGATCCCCAGAACCCTATTTGGCTCCCCTGAATACCATCAGGAGTAATTTCGGAGTGCAAAGCCAGGAGTAACCTGAGCATCACCAGGTGTCACCCATAAAATAAAAACAAAAGCAACACAATTTCTATAAAAATTTTAACTGCATTTTTGCATAAATTAAGACACTGATTCTAAAATTCACATGAAAAAGCAAGAGACCCATTATATGCAAAATAATCCTGAAAAAAAAAAAAACCCCAAAACCACCAAAACCAAAGTTGGGAGACTCAATTTATAACATTTCAAAAGTTCTATAAAGCTTTTACTTTTATTTACTTTTTTTTCTATTACCATAAGAAGACAGTAATAGTGGCATATGGGTGGATATATAGATAAAGTAGAATTAAAGACAGAAACAAACTCATATTTATAGTTAAAGATTTTCATAAAGTTCAAAACTATTTAGTGGGGAAATAATGTATTTTTTTCAACAAATAGCCCTCGAACAACTGGACAGTTATATATAGAAGAATGAAGTTGAATGGCTACTTTATACTATATTATACTATACTATACTAGGAGTGATTCCTAAGTGCACAGCCAGGAGTAACCCGAGTACCACAATCTGTGGCCCAAACCCCCCAAATAACAAAACAAACCTGCTTTCTTTGCAGATCATGCCCTTGTTTGAACAATGAAAATAATCAAATGACATCTGTCTTTCACCTTGGTTTTGGGCCACACCTGGTGATGCTGGGGGAGTGAGGGGTGGAGGGCGGGGTGAGGGGGTTACTCCTGGCTGCACTCAGGAATCACTCCTGGTGATGCTTGGGATGCCAGGGGATCAAACCCAGGTCTACTGCATAAAAGGCTGGTGCCTTACCTGCTGTACTACTGCTCCAGCCCCAGCATCTGACTTCTTAAATGGGTTTAGGAATAATGCCAAATATGAACAAAGGACATGCATGTGTAAGCATTTATACAGCAGGTCTTCAGGGGTTCCAGTTTCTTATTAGCCATTATACCACTGTCTTTTTTGGGAGGAAGGGAACAAAGTTTTATTTGGAAACCTTGCTTACTTTTTAAATTAGCTTGTTTTTTCACTATTGAAGTGTGAAGTCTTTATATATTCTTAGAGCCAGGGAGATGCCTCAAGGATCTGGAGTATAAACTGGGTGCTCTACTGACTCTCTAGCCCCTTTAATCTTAAAGAGCAATTTAGTACAGTAGCAATAATTACACGCTTATAACGGTTTAATGAATATAAGCAGACTTCCGAAATGGCATAATAGTTTAATAAACTGAATAATAAAGAAGTAAAACTCAGGTCAGTGATCTCTAGTTAACACACAGCTGCTGGCAGTAGGAATATTTGGATCATAGTGGGAAACACAAAGAACAGAGCATACTCTTCCCGAAAAGTGTGAAGGGAAAGAGGGAATCAAAGCAGAGCCTGAGGCAATTCAGACCTCCATCTAAAATGGAAAAGCAAACTGGCAAGAAAAACTAGTGAGCTAAAGTCTTGTTTGACAACCAGAACAAAGACTTTATTCAAGTTAATTTGGGAGAGATGGTACTAAGAAGGGTGATACCAGTCAATCAGCCTACAGTTCTGTACTCTAGAC